ATAGATAAGAGAGAGAGAGAGAGAGAGAGAGAGAGAGAGAGAGAGAGAAGAGAAGGAGAGAGAGAGAGAGAGAGAGAGAGACGTCTCAAAAAACAAACATTAGAAAATAAACCAAGGAGGAATCAATAAATAGATATAAACTACAATTTAAATTTGTAGATGAGCAGAAAATGCGAGAGTGTCAGAGTTGGTTTTCCCCGACTCTGGAGGGTATGGAGACACCGCTTTTGCTGTTTATTCAAAGAGATGGTAGCGTGGCTTGGCAGCGCCTCGTGTTAGTGCAAAGCCCGGGCGAAGGGGAGCCAGGAGCGCGTGGGTGACCCCGAAGGAGCCGTCCGGTGAGGCGGTGACCCGATGTTGAGTGTCGAGTAGCACTGAAGACAGGTCAGGGGTCACGAGTGCTGGGGGCTAGTCAATCCGCCGCCATGATTGTTCCCTCAGAGAGAGAGAGTGGGGAAGGGAAGGAGAAGAGAAGAGAGAGAGATAAGAGAGAGAGATAGAGAGAGATAAGAGAGAAGAATAGAGAGAGAGAGAGAGAGAGAGAGAGAGAAAATCAAAGAGAGAGTGAATATGTGTGAGAGAAAGAGAGTGTAAATAGGAGGAGAAGGAGGTTAGGAAGAGACAAAATAAGAAAATGAGTGAGAGAGAGAAAGAGAATAGTGGTATATATGAGTCAAAATATCAATAATATTGAGATATATGAGAAATAGAGTATTTTAATTCATTTTAAGGTTTCCAGACATAGTGAATGATGAGTCAGAATGATGCCATACTGATCTGAAGTTTTAATGATAAAACATAATATTGAATCTATCTGAGTTAACATTTGATTAACTTACTAAAGTAAAGTAATAACGAAGATTTATGTTGGTGTTAACAATGACCCCCATAACACACCATCTTCACCATTTATCCATCCACGTAGAAATAGCAATAACAGTTCTTAGTACCACTGTCCTTTTATCATCAAATAATATATATACTGATAAGATATAAATAATCAGTAAGTTCTCGGTAACAAACGTACGTCCCATATCCCGTGAATATCACATGACATGTTAATATTTTTTTCCACGCTCCAAAGATATATTGTTTCAGTATATTATGTAATTTAACTGATCGAAATCGGACTTTCCTATGTAAGCTGTATCTGCGGGTACACAACGTCCAATCTCAGGAAAGGAGAAACTGGCAACTCACCCTGTACCCAGTCTGATTTCCCATTTCCTCTTTTATTCTAAATAATGACTCACATTACCTGTGCTTATTCGGGTTTGGGTTTTTGAAACATGTTCAATATTTTTACTTTCCTCAGAAATCTTCTGTTGCCAGCACCCTATAATTACTTTTTCTCAAAAGCGATTTAGCGAATCCGACGACTCCGGAGCCCGGGGTGCTACAGAACGTTCCGCTGTGGAATTTCGTGTTGGAGACGTGTCGGGAGGGCAGGCGAGAAGGTCGTGATTTCCTTGTAGTGGTCGTAGATTTTCATAATTTAAGTACACTTTCACGTTTTCCATTTGTTCAAACACTCTATTATGTTAACCCTGTGTGATATACATTTTTTTTTGTTCCATTACGGATTCAGAGAACAGTAATAGGTATTATAGAAGTATAGTGTTGAGGAAGGAGAAAGTCCTTGAATTGTTTTTGCTGGAGGAAACAAAGAATCATTGCAGAGGTGTTGGAAAAACAGTAATTAGCAGTAATGATTTTATTCCATGAATAAGGAAATACCTTGTGTACAAAGATTGTGAAGTATATATACTAGCCATGATTATGGCAAAGGTCTAGTGAGAAGATAGGAACTAGCTCTTCTTTACTTGATTTGTTTTTATGAGGGAGAAATGATTAATTTTGCTATATATTACTTATTATTTTTCTTGGAGAAATTTTGGATTGAATATTGAATCCTAGGTATTTTGGCTGATGTTATGTTATTTCTCGTGGTTAGGTGTATGGCAAACATATGCATATGCATATTCATGTAATTTCTGGATAATAAGTATAAACTGAAGTTAACCAAACCTACCCTAATCTAACATAACTTAACCTAATCGAGAGTGGTATTATCTTGTGTGTTGCCATATTATTTGTTTCCACATGCATGTGCAAGACACCAACAGGGCTTTTCTGCCGTACTTGTAGTCACTTTCTTTTATTTTAATTTTAGTGCCCATCCCAAAATTGGCCATGCAGCGTATGTTTTTGTATTCAAAGTGGTTATAGAAACGGAAAAAAAATCCATGCCGTTTAGCCCGAAAATCATCATGTGGAAATGGATCCATTTCTCTATCAGCAAAAAATACCTCTGCAGAGATGGACAACTGGAACACTTCCTTGAATGGAGATTGAGGTTGTCGAATATGGCTGAGTACTGCCGAAGATGACCTGAATTGGTTAGGTTAGTTTAGGTTAGGTTAGGTTAGGATCGGGAACTGGGTCAGTGCCTCCAAGAAAGAAAATTATCGTGTAGAAACGGATCCATTTCAAGAACCCTTCCCTTTTGAATTTATTATTTGTTAAAAACCAGTCACAAGACCTAAGCTATTCCAACCAAATGTAGCCCAGCGGAGCCTAGTCCAACCCAACACATTTCTGAATTAAACCAAAGGCAATGTAATAACCAAACATTCCTCTACTTGGTTAGTTTACCAAAGTCTTTCTAGAAACCAGTATATCTGTCCTAGTCTTTATTTTGTTGAGAGGATGGTTCTTGAATGTAGTACCCCATTTGCCTGATACGAAGTCCCACAAATGAAATGGCCTTTGTACCTTTGGCTCTTAGGCAAAGACCAACAAACATCCACCTTGTACAGGTTCCTTATTTGACAGTAAACAATTGGAATGGTCTGTGAACATAGTCTTGGTTAGAGTAAACATATTGGAGGGTTTAGTCCTTTTGCCAAATTGCTAAAGACATGGAGGCCAAGGTTACAATCGGTGCATTGCAAAAAGCAATTGTGGGCTTACTGTCACTTCTTGCAGATTGTATGCTCTAACTAATGTTATTTTATATGTTCTTAAAGGCTTTACTTATTTTTTCTCTGTCTCCTTACAGTCCTCATTTAAAAGTTTAGGTCTTTTGACAAAGGTGTTGTTATTGTCAACAGGCAGATCTTGGAATCTGCTAATGCAGGAAATCATTTATATAAAAAAAAAAATCACAATTGGATCACCTAAAGGGAAAGCTCTTGTCATGTTTGATTATAAAAAAAGTATCCATGCATGTACAATGATCTACAGTGATCAAGAATCCTGCCATTTGATAGTTCTAGCATGTAAATTAGCCGTGGACATTTTACATTTAATAAGAACCATTAGAGATAAGACCTAGACTATTTTATATTGTTAATAAGTAGATATTACTCTTTGTTGTCAAATGATTTGGTCTTTCAGTTATTTTTATGTATTTAATCAAATGTCATACATTCAAGAAAAAAATGAGTAAGGTAATCTTAGTTTTTTTTCTATTGGGCTTTATTGTTGAAATTTTGATAATTTTGATCGGGTCTGTTATTACTGAATAGCTAGTATCGAAAAAAATGCTTTATTTGAAATATAAATGTAACATTGTACTTACACTAATTTGTATGATTTATGGCAATCACATGGACTTTTGAGCATCATGTTCATTGAAAATGCATTGTGCAGTAGAAAAAAAATTAGGAGGAGATGTAAGCTAGGATATGAAATGAAGTAGAAGTTAACTAAAACAAGAAGCAGACACTGAATTCCATTAATGTTAAGTAGAATAAAAAAAATGTTATGTTACATTTCTTTTATAGGGTTTTAGACTTAATGTGTTATGTTACATTTACTTTGTGGTTGACAAATTTGGTTTTGTTTAATTTCTCATGAATGTTATATTGGCATATATCTTATATCATGTGTATGCTTGGTATTCTTTGATTTACTAAGGAACTAGAAAAAAGAGAAACAATGTATTTATAATGTAGCTGTAGAAATGAAAAAAAAATGTTTGATTGTTAGAGCCAGTTTCTGTAAATTGCTGAGTTTGGAACATGATAGATGTTGGAATATGTAAGAGCTTGATATATAGAGCACAGGTAGAAAATGCACAATAAACACAAATAACCCACAGATAAAAAGATGCCACTCAACACTGCAGAAGCCCTGTCTCTGGTGTCCCAAATATGTGAGGAAGAGAAGCTGCGAGTTGCCATGAAGGAAAGCATGAAAGGGGGATTCATTGCTGGTGGAACAACCATGCTGGGGGGTCTGCTTGGCGGCCCCATAGGGCTAGCTGTAGGTGAGTTTGGGTGCCTTTGTTTCTGCTGTTGAAGGGAATTGTAGAAAGAATTTCAATTATATTTTTTCTCATCTTTCTGTTCTTCCAGTTCTTGTTATTCTTATTCTTAAATGTATGTCAAATCTTTCTTCCTCCTCCTCAACCTCCTTCTCCTGCTCGGCCTCCTCCTCCTCCTCGGCCTCCTCCTCCTCCTCCTCCTCCTCCTCCTCCTC